GGTTATTGATAGCTTAAAAATATATGCACTTTATAGTCTTGGTTAAAATAAATGAGATGATTAGTGTGTGTATTTTGAATAGTGATATGATTCTGTTAATTGGGCTTTTAGGATTTTTTAGAGTAATGTAATTGCAAATTAGCTTAGAACATGGGTCAAATAATCACATAAGAAAATTAATTAGGAAGTTTGATATTAAAAATAAAATATATATATTATATATATAATTCCTAGCTAATATTTATGTAAGTTAATTTAGGAATTTTAATAAATATTGTTAGGAGAAGTTATAATTTAAAGTAAATAGTTATAGGGGCAATTAACAATCTTATTGAATCACGCATGGAGGTTAATATAAATTGTTAATTAGTTGATTTGGAATTATTAAGTGTATATATGTAAGTGTGATGGATGATATCTGTAGCTTGAAGTTGATTGGCCGTCTGAGATGATTGATCGAATGATTGAAAAATAAAATTATGGCGGATGGGATGAGTTGATTTGAATTACCCGATGGATGGGCTGTGTGTATTGATTGATAAATATATAATATTATTGTGATATTTAAACAGGACTAATATTGTGATATTTGACGCAGGTAGACTACGTCCCCAATATTTAGGGGAGGTGGTGCCGTGAAATTCGATAGAACTAGTCTTAGTTAACAATATAAAGTAATAGGTTTATTTAGAATAATTCTATAACTTAATACATAGTAAATAAAGTATTCTAATTATTTTACTATCATCACTATTTACTTTATATTGTTAACTATTATTATTCATTAATAAACTCACATCTCTTTTGTTCAAATCTTTCAGGAAGTAGCATTTTCTAAATCCTAGCTATAACTCTGCTCTTTGCCCTTAAAAAAGAAATTCGCTAATTTTAGTATTGATCAATTAAATAGATAAATGTCCGAAGACTTATATGTATACATCCGTCAGTAAACTCCGCAGTTATAGATTAGTTGTGATCCCTGTGACAATGCCTTGCTTTTTTTGTGTCTGGAATTGGGATGAAGTGGGTCCCACCAGGGTTTGTGAGACTTTCTCTGTTATATGGATCCTGATTCTGATTCATGTTATATTCTGATTTTGTTATTATGGCATCCTCGATTCTTGTTTCTTTAGCCGGGTGTAAATGGGAGATCGGCGCCCCCGTGTGCACCTACCTGTTACCGTTCCTGTAACCACAGGTTGGCTTCTTTTTTATTGGCGGCACCGTGATAATCTAGATTTGATCGCAGCCCGCAGGGTGTGGCCTCCTGTTGTGAGCGCCTGATAATTTCTAGATTTGATGAGTACGACCGGTTTGCGTGCCTGTTGGTATGGAAAAAGAAAAGAGAAGAATGGAAAAAAATACATGAGAGGGCTAGGTCCAAGTGAGGATTAGGGACCGGTTCAGTCCAGTATGCGGGATCGGCTCCTTTGCGTTGCACATGTGAGAGGATGAAGTCCAGTGGAGAGGACGGCTTCATTCGGCGGGTTCGGTGACTCCACTGACTAATTCCACGTGATTGGCACTGATTAATTTCCACGTGATGTGATTATATGAAGATGTTAATAATTGTGAGTGCTGGTGATATGCCATTTGTGTGACTGACTGTGTGAGCATATACTTAGTCGGATGACTAGGTTGATATATTTATACAATTGTGTGAATGCGTGTGTTGTGCAATAATTATGATTCATTAATAAACTCTCACATCTCTTTTGTTCAAATCTTTCAGGAAGTAGCATTTTCTAAATCCCAGCTATAACTCTGCTCTTCACCGTTAAAAAAGAAATTCACTAATTTTAGTATTGATCAATTAAATAGATATATGACAATTTGCAAAATACTGAGCATCATTTGTACCGAATGAAGAAATTCTCTATTTGCAGTGCAAAGTAATTACTCCGGCAGTTATTAGCAACTCACCCTCCGGACGCAGAGGTTACATTATGAAACTTCAGGTGAGTTACTTTTTTTAAGGCGCTCTCGGATGTTATATAATTCCTATCTTACTAGATGTAGTACATAATCCTAATTCATGTGCAGCCTTTAGATCCAATTGCCCCATTATTACAGCAAAGTACCATAAAGTGTAAAATTGGTATAGCATGTCAGATCTAAAAACTTTACATGTAAGTTGAAGAAGGTCAGCATATATGTGTAATCCTGATTGTAGTGTCGTTCATTCAGGGGCCAATCTTACTCACGAACGGGCCGGCGCTCTTGCTGGGTCGCCCGTTAGAGGCCCCTTCAAAAACAAATCTGCGGGACCCTGGAGTGCCGGTTCTTACGCGCCCCATTTGGGTTGGAATATATGCGAAGGGGTCCCGCGTGATCAGTTCATATGAAAAGGCCATTTTTTAGTTTCATCATTGGTAGAAGATAATATTTCTTCTTTGTTTACTCTCTTGCTATTAATTAAACCTGTTTACTGTAATTGTGCTGTTGGCAAGGTTTCACATATAGGGATCTGATCATGTATACTACTTTGTTGTGAATTTAATAATTAATCTTGATTAATCAAGTTGGTCTATTTAATGGGGTAAAATATAAACCCAAAAAATACTAACTGGTATGTTGAGATTTAAGACTTTAATTCTATCTCAGTTGTATTATCTTGTCTTCGCTACAGAATTATATACATAAAAAGGGGAAACGGAAGAGGTGTGTAGCTTATATTATAACAGCGAAATCTCCGACATAATTACGTCGAATCATATTGATACTTAAATTTTTATGGAGTAATCTTTTTATGGGGCGGCGCGTTTTCACAAAATCCAATGGAAAAATAAGCCAAAACTCCATTCTCGTAAGATCTTTATTGGTCACTCTACAGAATATTTAAAATATAAAGAAACCCCTCAACCAATTCTCAATTCCTTCCATTTCTTAGATCTTATGCACAGCTGTTATCCATTGCCATTTCCGAAGCCCATAAAAAAGTTTCATCTTAAACTCAACCACATTAAGTGATAGGATTAACGCTATCAGTGATACATTTATATCTTGGACGAGCACACTAGTATTAACTAACGAAATCTATGCTCCGGATCTTTACTCGCCTTCCGGGCCCTCTGCAAGGTAAAAAATATACTGCGATGTGTATCTAGTTACTAATTGTATACCACTCTCTTATTGAGATTGTATTATCTCGAAATGAGTTACAACAACGATTGTAGTAATTGCACAAGGCCTAGTATCCACAGTTAGGCATTTAGACCCTTGGAATACCTCTACTACTATTTTAACGCCTTTATAGTCTAAAAAATTTGTAGCGTTTCAGGCTTACTACGGGCCTCGGGGGCCTTAAGCTTACCTGGGCCCTAGTGCCGGTCCGGCCCATGGAAATGGGTCGTGACAGTTTCAAAATTTTATATATGTAAATAATTATTTTTTTTTTTCATAATAACTTTTATAATTGTTTATTAAATGAATGACTTTTATTAATATCTTAATCAGTTATTAAGGGTAAAAAAAACAAAATAACTTATGTTGATTAGATTATTAATATGTATATTTTGTCAAATTATATACATAAAAAGGAACGGAGAGAGTATTATATACACACAAATTAGAATGATCTTTTATGGAGTATCTTTTGTCAATAAAAAAAACTCATTATTATACTCTCAAAAAAAAAAAAACTCACCATTCATTACATTGATGAAGTGTATACCATAAGATTTACCTTCAAAAATTGACAATTTATTAATAAAAATTATGTCATTTTACCCGTGAGGTGAAAATATGCGATGTGTATTTACTTGAATTTAAATATATCAATGTTAAAAGATTAGTAACCAATTAATTAGTTAACTTACCACAATTATATATCTAATATGGATTTATTATTTAGTCAATATGAGATTCTTAACAATTTTATCGTGCGACAACATATTAGACCTTCAACTTATTCATCCGGACAATAATAAATAAATCTATTCACGAACACTGAATCAATAAACTATTTACCTGAATTTGCAAGTCATATATTGTCTGAAAAAAAAAAAAAAGCTTTTTTGATAACTAACAACTCGTTATATGAAAAGATAAAATTATCTCATATAATTATGCAACAATATATCACTTTTTAATCACTCATTAATACCAATTTTGAATCATTTGGCTGAATTTATAAATTGTTAATTGAGATTCATCATCCATTAACTGCTCAAATAAACAACTATTAAGAATACCAAAAGCACTTGAAGATAAAGACAAGTTTAAGAGATTAAAGTTATGTAACTACATATCTATCAATATATGTTCCAAACAAATATATATATATATATATGTAAAAATTATTAAAAAATAAATAAAATGAAAATAAATTATTACTGACAAAAAAATATACAATTGGCGTGGGTGGAAGGCCAAAATCTAAAAGGTGAAAAGATAAAAGGACAATGAGATTTACCTTTAATTCTAAAATAATAATGTAACTCACAATTATTTTTAATATATAACTCTTATTTATGCTTTGTTATTACTTAATAAAAGTGACTGAATTGCATAAACAATGCACTTTATAAAAAAATACACAATATTTATTTTTTTTAAAAAAAAAACACAGTATTTAATTGTATTGATTTAAAAAAAAAAAAAACTCTTTTGCAAAAAATGCTTCCCAAAAAAGAAGTCAAAGCATTGGTTTTGTAATCCCTCAATTAACTGACGGAAATTAAGATTTTTAAACTAATATATAAATGACAAATATGAAATCAATCAAATTTGAGATCTTTTTATAATCAAAGAAAAGGGATTTCTTCTGATCATAAAATCCCTTTTTTTTTTTTTTTGTGGTTAATTAATAATTATAACTGAATATTGAATATTCCTTTAAAACCGCTTTCTTAATACAACTAATAAAGCATGAGCGTACAATTCTATCAAGCACGAGGTACCATTTTCACCAGCGCGTTTACGTATAGCGAATTAAAAGGAGAAAATAAAAATGAAAATCAGATAAAAACAGAACAAACGGCTTTGGTGATACCGTCGAACGTGAAAAAGAAAAAAGAAAAAAGAAAAAATCAGCCAACCCAAACTGTAATCTGTATCTTCTTTTTTTATAAAATCTCGTTTACAGCTTCTATCTCCAGATTTTTCCCTCTCTAGCTCTCTCTCGTCCTTTCTGGAGAGATTAAACGAGTCGTCGTTTGAACATCGAGGGATCATAATCTCATGGAAATGGCTTCTACTACGTCTTCGTTAAGCGAAGAACAAAGACAAGAGCAGAATCAACAAGTGGCAGTGAAAGAGAAAGAGTGCATCCACAAAACAAAGACTATACAGTTCTTGGGCCGTACTACTCCTATCGTTCTCCAAAACGACAATGGACCTTGCCCTCTCCTCGCTATCTGTAATTATCTCTCTCTTGCTTGTTCTCTAGGGTTTCTCATTTTTCATCTTTTTTTGATTTATCAGAAAATGAAATGAAATATGGAAATGAAATTTGAATACTAGGTTTTTGTCTATTTCTGGTTTGATTGCGTTTCCCTCAAAATAGCAAAGGCTGTTTTCATGCTTAATTTACCGAATTCTATCGGATGAATGAATCAGATATATTTAGAACTCTATGCATATATTGATATTGCTTTGTGCAATTGCGGTTGTTTGTCAGTAGACAAACAAAAGGTCGATTAATCAATTTTCAGTGAGGGAAAATTGTTTCTAGGAAAGTTTCAAATTTTATTTTATCTTAATCTGGACATTAATGCAATTTGATCAATTAGTTACAGTTAAAAACTTTAGTGCTTGCTCACTTGGCTCGCAAATGATGCAACTGGAAAAAGTAAATAATTCGGTCTTTACCTTCTCCATTTTTAGGGTTTGAAAAAAAAAAAAAAAAAAGTTTTGACTTTGGAGGATATTTTCAATATCATTCTGAAGGTATCAAAAAAAAAAAAAAAAAAAAAAAATGGTAGAGGCCACCAAGTACAATTGAAAGAATCAGAGTGTGACATCATATGTGTTTCTCACCGGGTGAAGCCGATATGCGTGTGCGTTTACAGGATCAATTGGTTTCTAGGAAAGTTTGCCAAATTTTATTTTATCTTAATCTGCGACAGTGTAGATTGCGCATGAGGTTCCTTGATCAATTAGTTACAGGTTAAACTTTAGTGAAGTGCTTTGGCGGCTCTCAGTCTTTCTGTCATCGGGCATTGAATTTGATTGCAACTGCGATAATTAGAAGAGTGCTATATACCAAGGTAAATTTCAATCGGGGTCTCACTTATTAACCTTCTCTACATTTCTCGGTTACGCTGGGTTCCTCTGGCAAAAAAAAAAAAAAAAAAAAAGTGTTTGGATCTTTGTTGTCGCCAGAGCTTAAATAAGTTATTTCAAATATTCTGACTTATCACGTCCTGACTAAGGTAATAATTCAATATAACATAAAAAAAAAAAAAAAAAAAATGTCAATATGGCCCCCGTTCCCAATACATTATCTCCCTCCCTGTAAATGCTGCGAAAGCGGTTTCCGGAAGAGGCAGATTGGTGTGGGCCAACCAGTGAAATTTTTAGACGGAGCCACAAGTAACTACCTTCTCTATCAGTCGCTTTGTCTCCTATCTCATTTCGATCCAGCGTTTTCTCTCTCCTCTCGGTTTAAAGTGCCAATTTAATTCAACAGTATACTTTCCATTTTTTTTTAACACAGTATTGTATTAGATAAGTGGTTCTCATCTTGCTTTTTTTTGTTGTTATCCTTGCAATCAATCTTTATTTCTTGGCAGTTGCGCCTTGACTTCGCGCGAAAAAAGAGGCCGCTCAGGTCATTGCTTTTGTGGAGAATCAAATTCGCCAAGACATATTGTTGTTTTAGGCTTGGAATATACCCCTATTATATATTTTGATGTTTTGTTTGATTGGTGCGAACCTGAAGTAGCTAAGAACCTACTTTTTGAGCAAGCTTGGGAACTCTTGTTAGATCTCCGAGAGTAGTGCGCGAATGTATTCCCCTATTTCGTGCGTTTTGATTATGCCATCGTCTCATTGGTCTTCAGGTACAACAAGCTAGGATTTGTCTCTTTAAGTCATAGGGAACCATATAACTTCTTTAAGTGTTATTTTTGTGGATGTTAGTTTGATTAAGTGGGTCTTAATGTTGTTCCTCTCAAAGCAAGGTAAGCCAACTTGCCCGGAATGATTTTACCAATGTAATGATATTTGACATATCTCGGGACTCTTCTAGCTTCCAAGATTAAAAAAAAACTGGTGTTTAATTTTTGACAGTTTTTCGTTGCGACTACTGAACTAGATTTTGTTGCCAAGTTGGGTTCCATTTCTAATGTCAAATTTGCACTATTAGATTCTACCGACGCAAGCGCATTTTAAAAATAAAGAGAAAATTGAAAAAGTATCTTCATGCCGCGCCCTAACTTAATTTTATGTCGCGGCGTTGCGTTATGTGTTGATCTCATACTCCCAGAAAGTGGTCCTTATCTCAAGTTGCGCCATCGGAAAAAAACCAAGTTTTTGAGATATATTTTAGGAACTTTGGAAAAAAAAAAAAAAAAAAAAAAAAAATGTCAATGCCACTTCTCTTCAATGTTTAAGTGGAAGGGTTTTGGTGACAACTAAAAAGAAAGTCCGGTTGCCCTTTTCATGGTTTCTCTTTCGTTTTATTCACTAACTTTCTTTTTTAGTTTTATTGTTTCATCTTGCTTTTTTTTTTCCTTGCAACTTATTTGATTGTTGGGAAAGAAAGCTAGCATTTTAAATAAATTGAGCATTTGTTTGCTGGAATTATATTTATTTTTGATGTGAAAAGAGCTAGACTACTTTGCACTTGAATTTAGATGAATTGAAGTTTCTATTGTTGATAGCCTTTATTTCATCAAGCTAGATGTTTTAGATGAAAATGATATTTTGTGTTGTTAGTGCTAATGTTGTTCCAGCAAAGCTGAATAATTTACCAGTGATATTTGATTGGACTCTTATTTCATAAAACTGGTGTTAATTTTGAAAGTTTTGTTGACTACTGAACTAGATTTTGTGCCAATGACTTCATTCATCATAGTTCTACGAAGGATTTAAAAAAAGGAGAAATGGAAAGATTCTGCCATTACTTTTTGTGGTCCTTATGTTTTTAAATGGTCTTATTAGTCATCGGAAAAACCAAGTTTTTGAAATTGACTTTGGAATCTAATTTCAAATGCTTCCTTTGGTATTTGGAAATATGAATTGTATTAATGGATGATATACTTGTTTTATGCTTTCTCAATCTCTCTTTTTTTAATTCTTCATTTTAATTATGCTTTATCTTAAGGTGATTTAACAAATAATGAGTTGTATTCCTTTCTTAGTACAACCCAATACTGGCAGTCTGATGTCATCATCATGTTATAATAGAGTTCAGTTTTTTGATTGTCTATATGTGGGTTTCCAATAGGTAATGTTCTTCTATTAAGGAACAATCTAAATCTGAGCCCAGATATAGCTGAAGTTTCGCAGGAGAAACTATTATCGCTGGTTGCAGAACGTTTGATTGATTCCAACAGTAATGTAAATGTAATAACCGACAACTGTCTTCTTGGTTGCATCAAGAAATTTTATCTTTGCTTTTGTAAGTTAATCTCTTTGCTCTCTTTATTATGCAGAATAAAGATGCAGGCTATGTTGAAAATCAACAGCAGAATATTGCTGATGCTATCGATTTGCTTCCGCGTCTTGCAACTGGAATTGATGTAAATATAAAGTTTAGGAGGTTGTACTCTGCCTCTCTCTACATGCGCTTCAGTGCTTCTTCCTTACTTTAATAAATATGCATGGAATGTGCAGGATAGATGACTTCGAGTTTACTCCAGAGTGTGCCATATTTGATTTGCTTGACATCCCTTTATATCACGGTTGGATAGTTGATCCCCAAGTATGCTCTTCCTAAACTTTAAATATAATTAGATTGAAGTTCTGCTTCCTTGTAGCGCTTTAATTGCCTTGTTGTCCGTTTGAAAATGTGATATATGATTAAAGAACATCTTATAATTATGTGTTATATGCTTTTTTTATGATTCATTGTGTATGCTCATGTATAATTTCTTAGAACCAGTGGCTTTAGCCTAGCTTAATTGGGAAGCTACAGGCAGATTCTAGGTAAATTTATTTGAACTTTTGGTGAACCAATAGCTATGACTTAAATATTTAGTTACCTTCATAGAAGTATTCATAGGAAGTACTGGTTAGTGCTTATTACACCCATATCTTTGGGTTGTAATGTGCTTACTAGATGTCACTTTTGCAATGCATTATTGTTTTTTATCTGACTTCATGTTAAATTGACCTTTTGATGCTAGTGCTCCTATTTCATGGTATAGCTAGAGGGTTTAGGTGAAGGTTTCCTTTGGATGTTGACCAGCCAGGGCCCTTCCTAAATGATTTCACTAGTTCTTTGGCTTAGATGTCAACAGAAGTAGGATAATTGCTGCTGGTGTAGTTCTAGTTTTTATACAGACTTTGTGCCATTGGCAAACTCACTTGTCATTCTGGACTAGATGGATGCCATTTCATTTTTTTTGGTGCAAAGCTCATTAACACCTAATTTTTGTGGATCTAGCATTTCATGTTCATATAAATTCTGCCAGTACTGCAATATTTGGGTGGTTATCCATTTGTTTATGTTGTGTTAGCTTTGTTGTCTGCTTTTAACAGTTGTCTGAGAATCTTGCCATGGTGCCAATACATGTGAAACCATGGAGAACTTTTGATTTCTGTTTGGAGAACTTTTAGTTCCATTTATCAGTACACGACTTATTATCTTTCCTGGTTCCTTGCTTGTACCAATTTTTTCAGAAGTTATACCCTGCTGTGTGTCTTGCCTTGGATTTTAGCATTATCAATATAGCTGATCATTTTCATTTATGGGTGTACTAGGATTATGATACTGCTAATGCTATTGGTTTAAAGTCCTACAACACTCTTATGGGGGAGCTTGTTGCCCTGGACACAAGAAATATGGAAGGTGAAAGTAAGAATAACCCTGAGGAAGATTCTGTTGATTTTGCTGCAGCTACCACTGCGACTCTGGGTGTTCCTTCTCCCAGTCTTTCCAAAACAAGATCTTTTGATGATTCTCCACGTTCAGTCTCTGATCACCTGACAGTGAGGAAAGGGGACCTGCAAGAAGAAGAAGAGCTATTGAGGGTTTTAAAATTATCGGAGGCTGAATTGCCCACTTCAGTAGACGGTGCTGTTGTAGCTGATGTTAGTGAAGGGTTTGTGCCAGCTAGTTTAGATGAGCATGCATGTGCAAAGGGGGCTGTGCCTGTACATTCTGTAGATATGATGGGGGGTCATATTGGTATTGATAATGGCCATAGCATCTTGAGCAAGGAGCATAATAGTCTCATGTCTCTAGGAACTCTTCCAGGGGAAATGTCACTCTCTCCTTCAAAGACTGATCAGAATAACCCTGTAGAAACTCTTCCAGGAGAAATGGCATGTTCTCCCTCAAAGACTGATCATAGCATACCTCTTGATCATCAGTCAACTTGTAAAGAATCCAGAGAACATGGTTCTTGTAGTGATGCTATTGAGAATTGTAGTGTCAAGACATCGATCCAGATTGAAGGTGTACTGTCTGCATCTGGTGGAAAAACTAATTTATCCCTTGATAAAGGCGGTTTTGATATTTCTCGGGGAGGTGAAAAGATCGTCAGTCAATCTGCTTCCATAACTGATATTCATGAACCAGCAGATATTTCAGGTGTGCATGATACAGAAGAACTATCAAGGTTATCTATGCCAAATCTAGATTCAGATTCGTCTAGTGGCAGAATTCAGAATGTAGATGTACCTGAAACATTTACTTCAAGTGTTGATGGCAGCGAGCCCATTTATGAAGGTGAAGAATGCATTTTAGATTCAGGAACTGCAGAGCCCATGTATGAAGGTGAGGTGATTCTTGCGGAACAGGCTGATAAAACTGTGATGTCGAATGATGAAATCACACCACAACAGGGTACGTCAGCCTTGTGTCACATAATTGGATCGATTATATCATGGATCGTTATTTGTCAGTTAATATTTTTTTGATTTCAAACACGTTTCCCCCTTGTTAATTCATATCAGGGGAGCTGATAAGGACCTTCTTGAAGAACAATGCTAATCAATTGACATTTTATGGGTATGTTGACCTATTTGGCTATAGAATGTACTGATTTGCTTTTTTCTGGAATTCCCTTCTTCCATTCTTTTTGTTCCATACAGTGAAATTTCTGAGCAGTTGGATTTCATGGTCTTTTGTGCTGGGTGCACATATAATTCCTTTCTCTTTTCAGCCTCTTTTGCTTGCAGGATGGGCTCAAAGAACGTGAGCTGTGTGTTTTTTTTCGTAACAATCACTTCAGCACAATGTTTAAGGTTAGTTATGAGCCTACATGGACTTTTGCATTATGCTGAAAACACTTTGGATCTGATTTACCAATTATTATTTTTCTTTCCAATTTCTTACTAAGTTGTTCTTGTTTAGTTTCTCATTTTCTGAACTTTGATTAAATGATATATTTACTCATTTGTTTTGCAGTATGATGGCGAACTTTATCTTTTGGCTACAGACCAGGGTTACTTAAATCAGCCTGATTTGGTGTGGGAGAAACTAAATGAGGTAAGGCTATCTAGTAGTTCTTCTTTTTGAGGGATATGCCTCTAATGCTGGTCACTGACCATAATTTTCATCAAAATCCGAATGATACATTTTTTTTGTTCTGCAATCACTCAAAGCTTTTTGAGGGATATGCCTCTATTGCTGGTCAACTGACCATAATTGTTCATCAAAATCCGAATGATAACAATTTTTTTTTGTTTTCTGCAAATCACCTCAAAGCAATAATAATAGAGACCATAAAATGAACTATTTAATGCAGTTTCAAGCATTGGCCCTACTCCATATCCAACAAAATCAATGGAAATTATGCAAAATCATGTCCTCCCACTAAAAATCCAAACGTGTAGTCCATTTTTTTTTTGTTCTGGGCAATCACTCAAAGCAAAATAATAGAGAGCTTAAATGAACTATTTAAAGGCCAATTCCAGCAAATTGCCTACTCCAACATCCAACAAATCCAATGGAAATTTGTACAAAATCAATGTCCTCTCACTAAAAATCCAACCTGTTGGTACCATAAGTGCTTGTTTCTCTCTTTTGAACTCTATCACTCTCTGCAACACTCACAAATTATGCTAATTTTTTATGAAAAATGCACTCACTTTACTATGTTTGCCACTCCTACAAGGGGTTCATTTGTAGGATAATTTTGTTCCATATCCAACAAGGGGATCAAGTTACTTTACAAAATCAGCCATATTACCCATAACAACAACCTCGGTTGATGGATCCAAAATAGGTTTACATACAGAATTGTATTTGTAGTTTGTTGAAGAACATAAGGCACATGTGGTTGGACATGGATTATTGTCGTCATTTGGGTTTCTTATCTCCAAGTAGAAATTAAAATAAGCAGCAGATTAAAAAATCTTCAAACCTTGCAAAATCGTTATGCTTAATTACTTATAGTTGTTGAGAACATAAGGCACATGGGTTGGACATGATTATTGTCGTCATTTGGGTTTCTTATCTCCAAGTAGAAAATTAAAATAAGCAGCAGATTAAAATCTCAAACCTTCAAAATCGTTATGCTTAATTACTATAACATTTTAAAGGTTTTCCTTCTAGACCTAGCTTGTGAACTTTCATATCCCAATTCAACTTCATTTTTTCAGGTTAATGGGGATACCTTGTTCATGACTGGCAACTTCAAGGAATTCAAGGTGGAAAATCATTCAAATGAGACATGGGATGAGCACAATGCTATGGCCAGTACTGCTGTATGTGGTTCTGTTTGGCTCCAGAACATATTTGAACTTTAATATTGTCTTTACCTTGAATATCAATTATTTTGAATTTTTATTTCTCAGGACTATATTGCCAGCATTGATAGTGCAGCACAAGCGGGTTTGGATATAAAGTAATTGTTCTGACTTGTTATTGATGCATAAGTTTAATTCTACGCCCATAGCATATAGTCTAGAAGACCATTGTTAATTTTTACTTCTGCATGTAGGTTTTCAAACTTCTTTGTTTTACTCTGACCATAGTTTGCCTCAGGTTATAATCAAAATTTACATTCATAAATACATACAGTCTAGAACACCATTACTAATTTTTAACACACTGCATGTAGTTCTCTGCAGTTTTCATTGTACTCTGACCATAGTTTGCCTCAAGTTACAGTCAAAATTTTACATTCATAAATCTATTTTTGTGGCAGTTCTGATCTGCAACTAGCAATAGCTTTGCAACAACAGGAGTTTGAGCAGCAACCACCACAGCGCAATAACTCACAGCAACCTTCAGTTACTGGTAGTTCAAGACTGGTTACAGGTCCCCAGGTAGGCTGTTAAAGATTACTAACGTTGCTCTTGGATGTTTTGATATTTTGCTAATTCTCGAAATGATCAGTAGTGCTGTTAATTATTCTCCCTATGTTTTTCAACAAGCTAACATGAGTTACACCTCACATTGATCTCATGGAAATTTAAAGAAAAAAAAGTAGTAAATATCTATCGTGTGCTTGCATATATGAATCATGTGAATGGCCTTGTAATGTAGCAATTTCTATCAAATGTAATTGCAACTTTTTGGTGATTCATTGAAAGAGACTTAACATGTTAATTTGAAGACACATGATCAATAAACAATTTAGGAATGCTTAAGATTAATTTCAGGCATCATACTTGTAAGCTCGGGTTAGATGTTGATTTTTGTCAATTGTTTATCACTCGCTAGCTTGATTCCCCAGAGGGGAGAAGTCGAATTTAAAAGTGAAATGATCTTTGCAGGTACCAAGAAGCAGTGGGAAATATTCATCTTCATCTTCCAGGGCAGAAGCAAAATCAAAGGATAAATGTAGTGTGATGTGAGTTTTGCTTTGAGGCGTCATGGAAGTCTGCACTGTAAATGGTTTGTATCTGGGCTTCATTTTGTTTATGACATTAATAAAGTTAGGGAAAAATACATGTTTATTTAGATAAAAAGGTTTTTCGAATGTAAAAAGTATATAGCACTAATATTGCTAGACCTTAACGCCCCAAAATTTTCTTCTTTTCCTCATACCTATGTAATTTGCATTAATTATTTTTGGGCAGATAGATAGAGGTCCCTTTACTTTCAGTTAGAAAGTGGAGCAACAATGGTCTATTGAAGTGATAAAGTGCCATTCATGGGTAGGTCCATTTAGAGGGCCCATATATAGGGGGGTGGTGGGGTGGGCCTGTGACTGATTCTTTTCTATAAGCATATATATCCATGCATTTTTTTCACCCGGGTGTAGAATTTATCATGTGAACAAAGCCAGCCAGCGCACGCCTTAAAAGTTATGGGAATGTCGTTTTCCAAGTACTGCTTTGATGTTGATGTTGATGTCTCTTAACAAATCGACAATAGCAGTTCTGGATTCAATTTTGGAACAAAAGGAGCTCCTCTTCTTGCTGTTATGTCATCAAATTCTTAACATTGAACATTCATTTGTTTTATTTTGTTTTTTGATTGTTAATATAATCCAAAAATCAATCAAAACCCAACAACTGCGTTAAAAATATGATATTGACTAGCATTCAGTTCTTGATCCGTCATCTCTATCATTCAGTTCTAGGTTCAGAGTTCAACTCCTCAAAGTGCAAACGGCAAACGTTGTTTTTGTCGTTTTTTTTTTAAAGAACTGTGTGACTGCTGTAAGTGGGGAAGGGAATGGGAAACGTGTCGTAATGCTACCTGCTGCTGACTTGAATGTGAAACCCCATTTTTAAGTTTGCTTGCTTAACACAACAATTAGCGCCAAAGTCAAAGGTTTGCTATTAATTTCTTGTTAGCGTACCTCCAACCAACGGATGGTGAAGATCTAGACACGGGTGGATCTGACACAGAACTGGCAAATGAGTCAATAATTTTATGTTCTAAACTGGGCAATTAGGCCTAAAAACGTATTAATTCATAAGCATTTTTAAATTGATTTGGTTTGGTGGTCTCGTGAGTAAATAGAGCAGAGGAGAAAGAAAAAAATGGTAGAGAAGAAGATGTGAGACTGAGTGGGGTTATGAAAACGACTCAACGTATTTTTATCTTTTTTTTATTTATTATTATTTATTAATTATTATTTATATTAAGAAAAGAAAAGAGAAAAACAAGGGATAAAAAAAAAACTCAGAAGGGACCACACTAGGGCTGTCTCAATCTTAAGGTAATGGAAAGAAGACAAAGTTACAGCTGTGAGGGTGACCCCACCTCCAACTCTACCTCTACTCCAACGACAATGCTCCTCTTTTTCTTGGAAATTACGTTATTTATTCATCTCTTCTGGCTTAATTCATTACATTTGTTCTGCAAAAATAAATTAATTTAGACGTTAATGGGATCATTTTATTACAAAACCTGAGGATGTCGGAAATTCATTTAAGGTTTTGCTCTGCCTCTTAAGTTCTTCACAGACAATGGCGTTATTATGGTTGCCTGAACTGTATTACCAAATCTGGTTTTTAACTTCAGTATATATATATATATTAACTCAGAGACGTGATCAACTTTCAGTGTACAAGAAAAGGAAGAAAAGGAGCTAATATAGAAGTGAAAAATAAAAAAGAAAAGAAAAACATCTCTTTTATAGAATAACTTCAAGTTATTTATATACTTTCTTTCTACAAATGACACATTACTTGAATTAATAGACAATAATATTTGGTTGAATTATTATTTAATTCTTTAATCAAAATTTTCTGCTTTTAAAAATTAATTTAATGGTCCTTCCATTTCAACTGTATACAATTACTAAAACTACTGTTAAACAACTTTAAAATTTCAATTTTACCCATTAATCTGAATTATAATATTAATTAATTAAAAATTTTGAATTTTAAGAATTAATTTTCCCTCTCTCTCTCTCAATGCTATTATTAAAGAGAAAAAAAAAATCAGGTACAGTGGATAAAAAAAATGTTTACATCTTCAACTATAATTCTCTAGAAAGTTGACAAAGTAACATATAGTAGGTGGCATTGATTGAACATTTTTTCGTTGAAATTAAAATAAATAAAATTATCCATGAGAAGCAAGTTTTTATAGTAGTTCGTTCATTAATCGTGAATGTGACTAATCAAACGGTTGAAATTATACCATCATAAGGTCATATTCATGCCTCCTTCTTGTTATTAACTAGCGACCAGTGGACCCCAAGAAAGATATATATATATATATATAAAACATATATATTTGGTGGTTAGTCATTTGTGTCTTAACAAATAGGTGTCTTACATTTTCTTCTTCCCTTACACTGTACTAATAACATAATAATAATAATAATAATAAATAAATAAATAAACTTAGAAAAGAGAGCAAGGAACAGAAAAAGAGTGCACCAACAAATGACAGCTCAACCCCTCTCTAGCCGACTTTCTTAAATAATAAATTTAATGCAAGAAATAGTTAAAAAAGGTTGGTGATTAATGCCTTTGCCTTTATTTTTTCTTCTTTAGTGGAGCACCCTATTTGGTTGGAACATTGTCTCTTCTAAGTTTCTTTTTCCTTTTTCTTTTTTTTTTTTCTTGATAGTCCATTTTCTAATTTTATTTATTTTCATTTTTAGATAATTATTTCATAAATTATGTTCATTTTGTTGCGAAGAAAATGTAAAAAATAAAATGTCTCGAGTTTAAATCATCTCAATTATATATTGTGTAGCTTGCAACCACCTGCATTAATTTACAAAAATTTGTATATATATATATATATATATTTTAGACAGAAAACGAAAATACTGTTTTATTTCCATTGAGCAAAAAGGTAACCCATCAATGGCCTAACCATTATTTTTCAGATTTTCTTGATGATTGACCACAAAAATGGAAGAGATTATCATTTGAAAATAATTATTTTTCTACAAATTAATTTGAATTGGCTTTTTGAAAAATGGAACCCTATGATTACAAAAAAAAAAAGTTATGAAATTTCGTGCATGCAATTGGTAATCTAATTCAATTTTTTTAACATTAAGTATTTGATTAATTTTTCAATTCGCAGTAAGAAATTGTATCTAAGAGTAATGCATGTGCTAATCATGTCTAAAACATGTATTCGATTGACATGTTGAGGGGCTTAATTTAAATCAACAAATATTAGAATGCATGTGTTGGAATTACAATAAAATTGATGAATCATATGTTTCAAAACAATATTGTTTTTTATGATGAGTTTGAAAAATATTAATCATGCAAACATCACCAGTAACTTTGTATTATCAATTCATTAATTTATATATATCAGCATTTCAATTCAATAGAAAAACCTGTTTTTCATCCTTTTAGATCACAATAAACCATTTTAATTGCCTAAAAAACAAATAAAAATGTTTATATATATATATATAAACAAGACAGCACAGAAAGAATATAATATATGAAGATCCACCAATTGGGTGCTTGGCAATTCCAACATTTTGCCCCCCTACTGTTACAAAGATTGATGTGAGACAAGTTAAAATAAAAAATAAAATAAATGAGAGAATGTATAAAAATAATAAACATTTTGTTTTGGGATTAGAAAGATACTTGGCAGCAACACAGATGGAGACCTATTACCCTAAAAGTTAGTTTTGCATAACTTTGCTCATCCAAAATGAAATTGATCTTTTGCTAAATGTCAGCAAAACTTTAAACAGTCATTGCCAAGTGAAAGGAAGGTGCAATTCATTCACCAAAAAAAAGTATTTCAGTGCCTTAATTAAACTTTTAGTTATGACTTAAAATAATTAAGAATCCAAATCTTCTGATGACCCAATAATAATATGACCACCTAATCCAAATTCTCTTCTGATATACCTATACAATTAATTAATTACTGATGCACCTAATGAAAAAAAGACCCATAATTAATTTTGTTATCAAAAAGAAATCCAAGAAATAGAATAAAAAAGAAGGAAAAAGCAATCAAATTTGTCAGGCCACCAGAAGCAGCTTTATTTGTAATATCTTTCTCTCTTCCAACCCTTTCATAGTAATGATTCCATAGCTGATAACACCTTCCTCTTTCTCATCTTCTCTTTTCTCAAAGACTTAACCTTCTCTCTATTATAAATCCACCCTTCATAATCTCTCTCTCTCTCTCTCTCTCTCTCTCTCTCTCCTCTTCCATGCTTGTTCATCTTTATAGCTTTCTCTGTATATGTTAACTTCTGCAACATATCAGAAATGGTGCAGAAAGTTTTGTGTCTCAGATCCCAATATACTTGCCCCTCCCCCCTCTTTCTCTCTCTTCTTACACCACTAACAAGAAAGCACTGTTCTTTCTTTCTTACAGTATCCATTAATCAGTATATCACTCTGTAACACAAAGGTCTTCCTTGTGGTCCTAAAAACCCTCTCTGCATACCTATTTTTCCTTTCTTTGTAATAATTACCTCTTTGTTTTTGTTACTTTGCTTCTTTTCTCTATCTCTCTTTCTATATATACAAACACAAAAGAAAAAATATATTCTTTTAGTGTTAAACTGCTAATATACTAATGCAAGAACCAAACTTGGGCATGATGGGTACTGGTAGTGGGGGTGCACTTGGTGGTTTAAGCAGTGGAGGAGGAGAAGTGTCTGTGTCGGTTTCCGGTGACCAGACTCGCCAACTTAAGGCAGATATAGCCACCCATCCTCTTTATGAACAGTTATTAGCAGCCCATGTATCTTGTCTTCGTGTAGCAACACCGATTGATCAGTTACCTCTTATTGATGCTCAGCTATCGCAATCTCACCATCTTCTTAGGTCTTATGCTTCACAACATAACCATGGCCATTCTCTCTCTTCTCATGAGAGGCAAGAGCTTGACAACTTTTTGGTGGGTTTCTTGTTCTTGATGTTGTCTAATACCAATATCTTGTTCTTCTTTACCTTTTTTATGTCTGTTAGTTTTCTTGCTTGTGGGTTTTGAGATTTTTCTTGTTTGCTAAATTCTTGGGGTTATGATGAATGGGTTTGCTTTGCAGGCACAGTATTTGATAGTACTGTGTAGTTTCAAGGACCAACTTCAACAGCATGTCAGAGTCCACGCGGTTGAAGCGGTCATGGCTTGCCGGGAAATTGAGAACACCTTACAAGCTCTAACTGGTCTGTCGTTCTCCTTGTCTCCTCTTCATATATACGTTAATATTGTTCTCTCTTTTTATTAGTAATTATATCTGATCATTTCTATCATATAATCGATCGTTGTATACACATAATGGTATTAAGTGCTCAATAATGCTCCCAAGCAAACATAAACAATTTTTTCCCCAGTAAATATTATGCTTGTTTGGGACTTGCACAAATTATAAAATGCAACCTAATTAATAAGGTTTTAATCTTTGAATTTGTATGTTTTGGTGTTGATGAATGATGGGTTTGGTAGGCAGAAGGATAAGAATATATATGCAGTTTGGGGGTTTCTGGTATATAAGTTTGAGAATAATATCCTTGCATACAGGAGGTAGATGCAATGAAATAGCAAATGGGTACCTACCAATTAATAGAAAAAAATCATATTAGTAATATACTAATTTATAGTTGGAGGGTTGTTAGTTAGTTCGGTGGAGGGTATCTCCACGTCCACCATCACCACCATCACTGGCCCCAACAACTGAGATAAGGTTGCATTAGGATATTTGGATTCAAGATTTTTTTCTTTTTATATATCCTTGTAAAAATAATGCATCAACCTTGGATTTTGGTTAACTTCTCCATTTTTAAGTTTAGTTAGTTGCAAATCTAAAGGGTTAGTGCAAGGAGATTAAGTTGCTATCAATTGACATTGTACTTGTAGAGGGCTAACGCGTCCTGCCTACTGCTTAGCCATTCATAGGGTTCGGCAGGCCCTGAGGAGCAATTTGTGTATTGCCCACATGCCTGTGTTAAAATTTTAGGAATTAATGCATGATCCCTAAAATTCTGAGCACTTTTGTCTCAGTCCTGCCTGCCATAGGAAATAGTACCAAGCTTTAGCGATGCAAGAATTTATCTCTACACAAATATAGGCAGTGAATGTCAAACATATAGCAATAATATGTAGGATGAATCAAAGAGATGAGCATTAATAGTGCTAGCTGTTGATGTTCATGTTAAAAATGAAATGTTGCTCTACAGAAAAAGGCCAAAGATCGCATCTTGGAAGATAATGTAATGGTTTCTTGAACAGGGAGAGTGAGTGATAAAGAGAGGGAGTATCATCTTCTTCTTGTCTACCTAGATGAGCATAACTAGGAAAAGAAGCTTGTAAGAATAATGATTACATAAGGTAACGTTGTAGGTTCTTGAGAGTTAGAAGGATCTGATATTTAAACTAGGTTTGATTTTCAAAAAGAGGACTTGGAAGGATGACTGAAATTGTTCATTTATACAAACAAGAACTCGATACATTTTTTTTTTAATGGAAAATCTTTAGGTATGGTTATAACTTAAAACCTAATGGGTTATTTATCATATTATTCTGTGTATAGGTCCTTGTATAAGTTTTTGAAATTCATAAAATGAATTAAACTTCTTGTAAACAGTGAAAGATATGAAAACATTTTTTAAAACAATGGTGAAACAGATGAAGCTCTTGTAAACAGTGTACATGGCGAGTAGTGAGCTTTTCTTTCTTTTCTTTTTTTAAAGTAATCATACCCCTAAACAATCAAACAGATAGAACTTCCTATTCATGAATAAAAATATAATCCAAAACTTCTTTATAGTTTTTTTTATATTATATATAAATTGAAGTCATCATTTTGATCTTCCTAAGTCAGTCCATAGTCGAACAGTCTGACCAGGTTCCTACAAATTAGTATAACAGACTATAAATCCAATTTTTATTTCATATCATTAAATGCCCTATTATTTGAGCATAATAGCAAATTGAACTTAGTGAACTAGATCTTAAATTACAATGTTGGTTGTGTCATTATTTATTAACTGAACGGAAATTTTAACGTCACGTTTATATAATTATTTGAAATTGATGCATTTATGAATTTAAAATTATAAATGAGTCAAGTAATTTGATTTGACTAGGTAAAAAAAACTCTGAATTTGTAAAAGGGAATTTTTTGAAAAATTATAAATTGTAAATGATCCGAATTTAAACTTAAGTATAAATTTATGGAGCTGACCTCAAACTCATTGAAGCCATGATAATTGAGAACAAGAATCTACTTCTGCTAGTAACCACTCTTTTTCATTAACAGGCCTGATCATATCTTAGGCTTCCAGGCTAGCCAGTCGAAGCCCAAATTTCCTTCGGGCCAGGTCCAAGTTTTCTGTTTAGAGGGAAAATTTTCCGCTCAATAGAGAAACTTTTTCGTCATCAACCAAGAGAAAACTGTTTGGTCTGTTGTTTAAATGTGTACATGTGTCTGTTTCAGGAGTAACTCTAGGAGAAGGAACAGGAGCAACCATGTCTGACGATGAGGATGATCTGCAAATGGATTTCTCTTTAGATCAACCAAGTGTTGATGGGCATGACCTCATGGGATTTGGTCCCCTGATTCCAACAGAATCTGAAAGGTCCTTAATGGAGCGAGTTAGACAAGAATTGAAGATTGAATTAAAACAGGTAATTTCGAATTACACTTTTACTGGCCAACGAGGTGTGATATGAGAGAATAAAGAAAACAGAGAGTGGATGGTCTCGTTTTCAATACTAAATGAGCTTGCTTTTTGCAGGGTTTTAAATCAAGAATTGAAGATGTGAGGGAAGAAATCTTGAGAAAAAGAAGGGCTGGAAAACTTCCAGGTGATACAACCACAGTCCTTAAAAATTGGTGGCAGCAACACTCCAAGTGGCCTTACCCAACCGTAAGCACTCACCCAAATTCACCATTCATAATATATTTCTACTTCTTTCTGTAGTAACTTGATAAAGAAAATAATTCGTATGTCACAAATGCAGGAAGATGACAAGGCAAAACTGGTGGAGGAGACAGGGTTGCAACTAAAGCAGATCAACAATTGGTTCATCAATCAAAGGAAGAGAAATTGGCATAGCAATTCTCAATCTGTGACATCCTTGAAGTCCAAGCGCAAAAGGTAAACAGACGGAGAATCCCAATTTAATGTCGATATAACTGTCCTGCCATGTTTGGGGTATATACTACTTTACTTGCTAACAACCAGTAGGATTGTAACAGATGAACTTGATATAGCTTACACATGAGCTTTTTAATTAGATTTATACCCTTAACAGGGTATAGATATCATCTCTCATTTTACTGCTGCTCTGTATTCTCTATTTTCACTAATATATATATGGCTTTTTGCTCCATTTTTAAATTTTTTTTCCGCTTTGAAATAATAATAAGCACAGAGAGAGAGAGAAAGACAGTGAGAGTTCATGGATTCTGAATGGTAAATACAAACTTGACAATATATTTAAATTTGAAATAAAATGGGAAAAATGAGAAAAAAAATATTAATGAATCTCTTTTTAGGCAATCAACGGCCGAATCATGGATGACCAACAATGTCCTCTTGCCTCCTATTTTTAAGATTCTTACAAAATTTATAATTGTGACTATGAAATGTTGATGTTTTTAAATTTTATTCTCCCCAAATTTTAGAAAGTCTCTTCCCCAAATGTTTTTTCTGGTTGGCTAACATTTTAGTGCAAAAGCTAAAAGAGAGATAGACGATTCTCCATTTACAATAAGATAATACTCGTCAAATAAGGAGATGAAGAAGCAATTATAGCTATAGGCTGTAATTTTAGTGGGGGGAAAAACCCAAAGCAGTGGGACAAGAGAGACCAACATAAAACCCAAAAGCAAATCTGCATTCGACACACATCCACACCCACTTCTTACAAAAGAGGCCAAAAAGAATCGATGAGCATAAAGTTCTCATTATGTCAAGAAAGAAAAATTATTTATTCTACCACTATCACCATCTATGACCATATGTTCATAATATCTATGCACGTTGCTCTGTAAAGATAATGCTTCCCTTTTACTATAAACTGGATTAAATCACAATTTATTTATATTAATAACATATTACGTATTGGTTGGAGCGTAAGCGATTTCAATTTCTATATAAAATAAAATATAAATTCAATAAAATATCTTTATGTTCAAGTTTGAAAAGATTACACTTTTTTATTATTTCGAACTGATGACATTAATGAATTAATTAATTTAAGAGGAACCACTAATACCAATTGAACATTGGGTGAATTAACTCATCGAAAAGAGAAACAATATCTGATCTTAATTGGTGGAAGCCTTAACAAATGGGTTGTCCATTTATAATACAGGAAAATGCCTTTTTATTATGAAAACTCATCATTGTAGACAAGATGAGATCTCATTCTTCCCAATGGTTAATTACCATTTTGAGTTCGAGCATGATTGAAAGAACCTGTTATCAAATTCTTAATTATTGTTTACTGTCTCACTACTAATTAACTGTATGGCTTGTACATATATATATATATATTTAAAAAAATGTGAAAAATCAAGAAAATATAATTATATCATACAAATACTTATGTAAATCTAATCTTGCAATACCAAATAATGTACACATTAAGATTAGATTATACAAATGAATTTATGAAAAAAATATCTCAGTTTTATGGGGTGAGAATGCATTACACTAAGTATTAAATAATTTCATAAAAGGAAGATACTAATTTTGTATATATGTATTATTTTCTTCACTTTCTTCTTCATATAGCTTTTTTTTTTTTTGGCATATAATATATTCTTTTTCATATAATTAATTTAATATAGTATGAAAAAATATATATATATTCATAAGGAGCATTGGATTCAAATGATAAAAGACAGGATTGAGTATAACAGACAATCTTAAAGAAATTTAATACGAATTCGAGATTAGTCGTAAAAAAAAATATACTACTATTACTACTATTTTGGTGGACTATAAATAGAAGTATCCACGCAAAAGCCTTCATACTCATACACACTTCTTTAATCGTATGGATTCCCTCGAAGCAAAATATTGGCTATCAGTAATTCTCTTATACCAAATCCCAGTTTCATCAATTTCAGCTCATAAACTCCATTATGATCATGGCATTCTCACAAACATAACAAAACATCTTCACTCCTCGAATTTCAACACAAACTCAATCCCAAACCCTACTAGTAACCATATTAAACTCCTAGGAAGTGCAATAATATCACAACAAACCAAGCTAAAGTTGGTCGTGCCATTTTCTCTTCCCCTATTCGTCTCTTTGACCCCTTAACTCAAACCTCTGCTTCCTTCAACACCACCTTCTCCTTTCATTGACAACCCAAAATGGCAAAACTTATGGGGGCGATGGATTGGCCTTTGTGATTGTCCCAGATGAGTTCACTGTAGGGAGACCACTCAGACCAGGTCCATGGCTAGGTATTCTTAACGATGCATGTGCCCATTACAAGGTTTTCGCAGTTGAGTTCGACACTGCTATTAATCCAGAAGTAGGTGACTTTAGTGACAATCACATTGGCTTAAATCTCGGAACCATTGTTTCTTTCAAGGTTGCCAACTTATCGTCTTATAGGGTTTCTCTTCATAATCAATCGGTTAATAGAGCTTGGATTTTATATGATGGTCATAAAAGGTGGATTGATGTTTATTTTGGATTAGATGGTGACCCAATTCCTTCAAAACCCATTTTATCATCTTCACTTAATCTTTCTCCTTTCTTAAATGAGTATATATTCGTGGGTTTCTCTGCTTCCTCTGAAAATTCATCACAGATACACAATATACTCTCTTGGAACTTTTCTTGTACAATTCAAGCTTTTCTTCATTTCCCTTCAAATCAAATCTGTCGAAAAATGATTGCAAGACGAGTTTCTAAAATTTTTGGTTCTAGCTATTCAGATCATCAACCGAGTGGTTTCTTCATTTTTCTTTGCCTTCTTGGGCTTTTTACTGTCTCTTTTATCAGTTTTTATTGCAATAGCAAGCTCAGGCGCCAAAGTGATCAAAGCCCATTAGCTGTGGCTTTTCCTCTGAAGAAGCAAAGACCGGTCCCTCCAAATATACCTCGTATATTCACTTTTATGGAAATTTATAGAGCTACACGTCGTTTTAGCAAAGAAGAAGTGTTGGATATGGACTCAAGTTGGGTTCTGTACAGAGGAACTCTGCCTAATGGACGCTATGTTACCTTAAAGCGGTTCTCAACTGAGTTTCTGAAGTCGACTCGCTTTGATTGGAACCTAATTTTGAAAAGAATATCTACCTTTACTAGTAATTATCATCGAAATTTAGCTTCAATTCGAGGATGGAGTTGGGATAATAGAGAGATGATTCTTGTGTGTGATTATTTTCTAAACGGTAGCCTTGATAAATGGCTCCGTGCTCTTTCTTGGACACGAAGATTTGAGCTTATTAGAGATATTGCTACGGCACTAAGTTTCCTTCACTCCAAAGACATAACTCATCGAAATCTAAGAATAAGCAGTGTATTTCTTGACGTTAATTATCGAACCATTCTTGGCGATTATGGATCCATGCATCTTCAGGGCGAGACGGCTAGTGCTGGTAAGAAATCTGATGTTTTAGGATTTGGAATGTTGGTTTTGGAAATTGTTGCAGGGAAAAGAACACTAACATTAAATGGAGATGATGAAGAAGAAGAGATGGATTTGGTAGGGTTTGCATGGGACATGCTTGAAAGAGGAGAGAAATTAGAGAAGGTGGTGGATGAGAGGATTATGAAGTCTTGTGTTGACATGGAAGGAGCTGTTAGAGTTGTTAAAATTGGATTAAGCTGCAGTTTGAGTGAAAATAATGGGAGGCCATCAATGGAAGATTTGGTCCTTCACTTGTCTAATATGCATAAGCAGATTCTGAAGCTGCCTTCGATTAGGCCAGCTGAATTGTTGCCCAAAAAGAAACCTGCAGGGAATTCACTGTGATCATATCAATTAATTACTCCATTTGTAAATTGTAATTGTTTGTTTTTGTGTGCTTCAATTACAAAATCACAAGTAATATTCATCTTCTTATTTTCATTTTATTTTTTATTTATTTCAAATTTAGATGTAAAAAAATTGACAAGTTACAAAATAAAGTAATCGTACATTTTGTAATATTAGTTTAATCCATTTATTTATTTTAATTTATATTATAGAATCATTTTCATTATTAAAATATCTGAGTCTTTTCCGCTTAAATCAATCTACGTTAATTTATTTCATTTAATCTTTAATAAATAAAAAAATATAAGAAGAAGCAACAATATCTTAATTAATCAAAAGCTACATCAGATACTAATTTTTAAACTAGACATGATTTGAATAACATAATTACATATTTGAATCCACCAAGGAAATAAAGAAATCATATTATTAAATCAAAGAATCTTCTTGATTTGCTCAACTATTTAAATGAATAATACAACATTTTTAACATATTACTTGGAAGAGATCTTAAATCAAACTGAAGGATCTGATCTCTACATATAAAATAAAACATTAAGAAACAAAAAGAAAAACAAATTAATTAAAAAGCTGCATCCTCTATTATAAAGGAAGAACCTTAGTCGACTTAATTAGACTTTACTATATAATAAATGTCACTACTAATTAATAAATACTGTTAGATTTAAATTTCACGGTATTTTTTTTTTTAAATTTATTAGATTATATCCATAAATTAAAATCTGTTACCAAACTCCTGTCCCAGCAAAGACAATCAGACATTAGCAGCAAACTAGGCTGCAAATTGAGGGCAGTTGACGCTTTTTCGGAACCGAACGACATTATCCGAAATGAATAAAACGCGGACCTTCTAGAAACGGATTGAATTTTTGTTATTTGCCGCCGGCGACTGGCGAAACCACCGCGTAATTTTTTTACTCTCAAAATGGGTCTTTGACGAAGAAAAAGAGTTGAGTTCAAGGAAAAGTAAAAAATAAAAAAAAAATAATAATAAAAAAACGAAGAAAAAGAACTAGAAATCGTACAAAATTTCTTCCATGGAAGTCACACGCAACATGTAGCTTTCTAGGCAACCAAACTGTCCCGGCGGAGTCTCATCTCTCATTGGCCTGTTCTCTGTCCACTCTTTTTCTCTGCGTATCGATTGTGACTTGTGTTGTTGTATCATACTGTTGCATAGATTAATGGTGATTTTAATAATGGAAGCTATGAATTCCCCGCGTTCACCTTTCACTTGTAACTACTCGTTCAACAATCTCTTCATTTTTTCCATTTATATAATTCTATGTCCATATTATAATATCCGTGTTCACATTGTCAAGTTCACCATTTTCCTTGTCGAAATCCTACTTTCTTTTACTCATTCAAATCTTTCTTCTGATTCTTTCTTGTTTTATACCCCACGATTCTCTTTCCCTTCAAAACTTCATTCTCGTCGTATCGTTTGTTCTTTCTCGATCTTTTCTGTAAAGGTTTTGGGCCATTTCTTCTATTTAGTGCCAGTGCCAGTATATTTCTTTGTTGCCACCACCAGCTTGATTTAATGTTTATATGAACTGGGTATTTGTCAAATTTTGATTTAGTCTGCTCATTCATCAAGAGAAATCCCATTTATCATGGCTCAAGAAGCTATTGATCATTCATTCTCGTTTGGTGGCTCGCATCACATGCTGACCCAGGAACAATTGCCATTCAAGACCAATCAAGGGTCTATGAAACTCTTGCTTTTGCATGGTAATTTAGATATATGGGTTAAGGAGGCTAAAAATCTTCCTAACATGGATATGTTTCATAAAACCTTGGGGGACATGTTTTCGAAATTGCCTGTGAAGGTTAGCCGCAAAATTGAAGGGCATGTAGGCAATACGATAACTAGCGACCCATATGTCACCATTTCAGTAGCTGGTGCTGTAGTTGGGAGGACTTTTGTGATTAGTAATAGTGAGAATCCAATATGGAAACAACACTTTAATGTTCCTGTTGCACATCATGCTGCAGAGGTACATTTTGTTGTCAAAGACAGTGATGTTGTTGGTTCACAGATTATGGGTGCCGTTGGAATCTCAGTAGAGCAGCTATGCACTGGCAAGAAAATTGAAGGCACTTTCCCAATTATTGGTGCCAATGGTAAGCCCTGCAAAGCTGGAGCTGAATTGAGCTTATCAATTCAGTTTACCCCAGTGGAGCAAATGGCAATCTATAAGCATGGAGTTGGTTCTGGTCCTGATTACAATGGGGTTCAAGGGACATACTTTCCTCTTAGGAAAGGAGGTAAAGTTAATCTTTATCAAGACGCTCATGTTCATGATGGTTGCCTTCCTGATTTGAAGCTTGATGGTCATGTTCAGTATAAGCATGGGAGTTGCTGGCTGGACATTTTTAATGCTATCAGTCAGGCCCGGCGCTTGATTTACATTACTGGGTGGTCTGTATATCATATGGTTAGATTAGTTCGTGATGGTCAGGATGGAATGGGTCCTTCATTGGGAGATCTTCTCAAAATCAAATCTCAGGAAGGTGTGAGAGTGCTGCTTCTTGTATGGGATGATCCTACTTCTAGGAGTATTTTGGGATATAAAACGGTAATAAACTCGAAGAACTTATTATAATATACACTGCATTTTGTTAAGAACACCATTTGGACATTGGGTTGGATTTTCTTGACAAATTTATTTTTGCTGGTTCTGTTTGAAACTTCAACTTGAATTTGGTAGTAGGAATATATATTTCCTTGTTGAAAGACTTTTTATGCAGAATTGATGTTCCAATTCAAGGTTTGGCTCAATGTTGGAGAGCACGCAACAATTGCTTTTGCAGGTTTGATCTTTGCCGTCCAATTCAAAGGGGCAAGATATAGTATGTATTTTATATCTACCAGAGAGCCTTTCGGTGCTTTCGTGGAAAATGTGCAATCAACCAATGCAGCTCTAAAAGTACAACAATTATTGTTTTTTCCGAGTTTCATTATATTCTCTAAATTTAAAATCTAGTTGCTAAGTTCTATAGATGATTGACATCATATTTTCTCTGGAATACCAAAATGTAAATTGTCCTGGCATTCCTTGTTTGCTAGTATTTATGAAGGATAATTGCACATATAAAGATTTCCTTTATCATGCTGTGAAATTCTGTTCATTTTCCCGTTTGCTCTAGTGTAATGTGGAGATCTACCACATAGACCCATTATGCAAACCTGTCAAATTAACAATGTGGAGTAACTTTTGTTTTTCATATGATATGCTCGTGTTATGAATTGTATGACCGCAACTAACTGACTTGGATACATACTAGTAAAGTAGCTCAAATCTATGTTTACTTCTCAAAGGCCTCTCCAGCCTCAATTGAGTTCTTGATTTCTTACATACTTAAAAATAGAACTACTTACAGTTTTCATTTTCTTATGTATTGATTCAATTCTATGATATGTAGGAGGGCATTATGAATACCAGTGATGAGGAAACTCGCCGATTTTTCAAGCATTCTTCAGTGCAAGTGCTACTCTGTCCTCGATCTGCTGGAAAAGGAAGTTTTATGAAAAAGCAGGTTGGATATGAATAGTCACCATATATCTCTTTATGTTCTACATTTTATTTGTTTTGTCGTATTGCTGAAGGATTTTAGGGACAAGATACTTGTTTATGTCTATTGTTGTGAATTTAGAACTTTTCACTTTTTTTTGGGAGGAAAAACTTTTCATATTTATGTTCTCAATTACGCTGCTGTATATATGACAAAATTGGAAATAGAAGAAGTCTACAGGGGAGAGTAGGAGTACAGACATTTCTGCAGATATCTGATATTGCCAGTTCTTTGGACAGTCTCTTCTTCTGACAAAATCTTATGAGTCACTGTAAATTTTCTAACTGTTTTTTCGCTGTTATCTTTCAATTTGTTTCCTACTATAAAAGACACTGAATTCCAGGAAATAAGTGTACCTCTACATTGTTGAAACCTGAAGCATCATTGCTCGAACCTGATCTAGTACACTTTTACAATGGGCTTTCAATGTACTTCAGGTGAAAAATGAACATTTCTTTGTTAAAGTGTTTCCTCTTCCCGGTGAAGGTGTTGCTTTTCTGCAGAATAGTGGCAATTCTCCTTGCATCCATTCCATTCCCCTAGAATAAAATCATACATTGTATACACAAATATAGTTATGTGTGTGCATCTCATATGTATGTGTCAGTTGGATATACGATGTTCTAGATGCTACCTTCTCTGAACATCTGTTCTTTTGATTTTTGTTTATCAGGAAGTGGGAACAATCTATACCCATCATCAGAAAACAGTGATAGTGGACGCTGATGCTGGTCACCATAGAAGAAAGATCATAGCTTTTATTGGAGGCCTTGATTTATGCAGGGGCCGATATGATACTCCACAGCATCCTCTTTTTAGGACCTTGGAAACAGTGCACAAAGACGACTATCATAATCCTACTTTCACGGTAATTTAAGCCTTCTTCAGTTTTAATTTCCTTGATCTGGACAAGGAAATCTTTGATCCTTCTTTATTCACACTGAAATATCTAGCTAGGGTAATGCATGTTTAAACAATTCTATCCAAGCTCTCTGCATCCATCGCATATTATTGATTTTCGAAATTGCTTCCATCAAAGTTTTGCTACCCAATTATTCAGGTTCTCTTATTACAAGATGTATAAGCTGCGAATAAGGAATCTATTATAAAATCTCTAACCTGCCTCTGTTGTCACTAACCAGGAAACTGGCGTTGGTTGTCCAAGAGAACCGTGGCATGATTTGCACTCCAAAATTGATGGTCCAGCAGCATATGATATCCTCACCAATTTTGAGGAGCGTTGGTCGAAGGCTTCGAAACCTCATGGCCTTCAAAAACTGAAGGCATCACATGATGATGCATTGCTCAGGATTGAAAGAATCCCTGAAATACTTGGGATAGCAGAAGCTTCTAGTCAGGCTGACAATGATCCAGAGAGTTGGCATACTCAGGTATACTGGATGTCAATCTGCTACTGGTATCCAATTCTCTAAATTTTTCCTATTGACTAAACTTCTCTATAATTTCAGGTTTTCCGATCAATTGATTCCAATTCTGTCAAAGGCTTTCCAGATGACCCAAAGGATGCTCCAAGCAGGGTAAGAAATTTGGTTCAGGGGTCCTTTTCCTTCTTATTTCCTGGATAAGCATTATTTTATTTTATTTTATTTTTTTGTGGGTAGATGAATCCTGTTGGTTAATAAACTAATCTATTTGTCATTGTGACAGAACTTGTTGTGTGGGAAGAATGTACTCATAGATACGAGTATACATACAGCATATGTCAAGGCAATCCGTGCTGCCCAACATTTCATCTACATTGAGAATCAGTACTTCCTTGGATCTTCCTATAACTGGGATTCTAACAAAGACTTGGGTAAGATGCATGAAACTTTTAGATAAAGAACTAAGGGGAAAAAAAATCCTTTGCATCACCGTATCAGGCTAATGTAAGGTTTGCCTATGAGCTCTCATTTCTTTCACTGAAATCACGCTACTAATGATTCCATGTCCCTGCTATATGCTTACTAAATGCCTGCCTAATTCTATCATGCAATAAAAAAGACAACTGTTTCTATTGGTGGCTCTCAAGCCATGATCATTTCCTGGTAATAAGTACCAAGGGCATTGTCCATGGATTTCATGTCCAGTGCAGGTGCAAAATGTTGAATATTACATTAAAAAGCCCAAAATGATTAGTTGGTTGCTGTCTGTAACAATGGTGGTGATGTTTGATATAAAAGAAGCCTCTAAAGGACAATTGTGCTGGTTATGAAGTTATACATCAATGAATTGAGGGGAAGGAAGTGTTGTATTTGTTCAATATCTGATATTCTCAATGAACTTCTAACATTGATGTCTAGGTTAAGCTTTAGTTTGAATCATACACTGCACCTTTTCTTGGCAAATGTTGAGAATAGGGTATGGTAACAGACATTTCATTTGATACCATGATTTTTAAGTGTGCACCATAATATATATGACAAAGAAGAAGACAAAACTTGGGATCTTACAATTGCCATCATTGGTACATGGTCCTCCCTTTCTTTTTCAGATTTTACTTTTCCCATTGTCTTCTTTTCAAAGTGACATTAATAAATATATATTTATAAAATGGCTATTATTTGCAGGTGCAAACAACCTAATTCCCATGGAAATAGCACTTAAGATTGCCAACAAAATCAGAGCAAATGAGAGGTTCTCTGCATATATTCTCATCCCAATGTGGCCAGAAGGTGTTCCTACAAGTGCTCCTACGCAGAGGATTCTATTTTGGCAGGTAAGAAAAATATTTATAGGTCTAGAGCCTCTGGTAATGCAAGAGATAGGCTATGAGATTATTTTTCGAAAATGCATATAATGTTTGAGAATTATATAAGAATTTCTTTCTATCTTTATATGCTGCACGTGTTGCATCAGAATTGATTTTCAAGCCACTTATAATGCTCATTATTCAGAAAAATTGAAGTTACAAACGCCTATTATGCAGACAATACTGGCATCGTGCTTAATTTTATTATCAGATCTTTTCACTAGGATTATTATTTTTTTGCTGCAGCAAAAAACAATGCAAATGATGTATGATACAATTTACAAGGCTTTGGTGGAAGTTGGACTTGAGAATACATATGAGCCACAAGACTACTTAAATTTCTTCTGCCTTGGCAATCGCGAGGCATTCGATAGGGAAAACAGTTTAAATGCTCAAAGTGTCAACGGAGCAAACACTCCTCAGGTATCTTTTTCGAGTAACTATCATGTGTTTCCAATTTCCATCCAATGCTTCTTTTTTTTTATTTTCGCCTGATTAATCTGCAAATTAATCGTTCTGTTTTTATTTACAAAAAAAGGCATTGAGTCGGAAGAATAGACGCTTTCAGATTTATATTCATTCCAAAGGAATGATAGCGGATGATGAGTATGTGATAATAGGCTCTGCAAATATCAACCAGCGATCATTGGATGGTACTAGAGACACTGAGATAGCGATGGGTGCATATCAGCCTCGGCATACCTTCGCAAGGAAACACTCACATCCACACGGGCAGGCAAGCAAGTTTGATTATAATTTCTTTGCACTTGTTATTCTGCCAGAATGAAACTTCAGTTAAAATTACGATCTACATATTTTATGAGTACATTATATATAATAACTGCAATTTCAAAAAAAACTCTTCAAGACCCACCATTTCATTTTTCCGAACATTAGTAACAAGTACATGACAGACTGCAATTTGATTTTGAGTGCAGGTTTATGGATATAGGATGTCCTTATGGGCAGAGCACATAGGAGGACTTGAGAAATGTTTTGAGAAACCAGAGAGTCTGGAATGCATAAGACGTGTAAGGTCCCTTGGTGAGCTCAACTGGAGGCAGTTTGCAGCTGATAAAGTTACAGAAATGAAGGGTCACCTCCTCAAATATCCGGTTGATGTTGATCGAACAGGGAAGGTTAAGGCTCTCCCTGGCTGTGAAACATTCCCAGATGTTGGTGGTAACATACTAGGATCCTTCATAGCCATTCAAGAGAATCTCACCATCTAAGCTATTGGACATAACTCTAAAGTTTTTGCACGTTTATTCAGAACATTACATTCTTGTGTCTGAACTTCAACGCTATTTCTTTTTAGATTAATAGCATGCTATTGGATTCAGAGTATGTGGAGCATATAACTAATTAGAATTACCCCTATCATAATGCCAAAAAAAAAAAAAAAAAAAAAAAAAAAAAAAAAAAGAGGGAAGCAAAAAAAAAAAAAAAAAAAAAAAAAAAAAAAAAAAAATAAAATAAAATAAAATAAAGAGGGAAGCAAAAAAAATCACTATTTTAATGGGCAAAATTTATAAAAAAAAAATGTGGAAACTTTTTTCTATTTTTGATTTGTAAACTTGTTTTATGAACTTCAGAGTTCACATATTATAAAAACTTATTTTTCGGATTTAAGTTAATAAATAATAAACAATATATTTAATAACATAGTTGTATTATTTAACAGTTAAAAAACAGAAATTAAAAACAACAACCAATCATATGCCAAACAGTCCATCTAATAAAGATTGTATTCCACGTTGGCAATCCATTTTCGACCATCTTTAGATGAGCTTCATCCAACGGTTTCTATAAAGCCTATTCTATTTACGCGGATCGATCTTTCCAACCGTGGATGAAACTCCATCTAACGGCCATGACACTAATCGAAAAGCAGTGGCGGTACTTGGTTGGTTTTTACTTTTTTTTATTAGCGCTTAAAATCTTGAAATTGGAATCGAAAATTCCAAGAGGCCCGCTTCTCATATAAACCCCCACCTGGCCGTTTCTCCTAGCAGGCCTATTTTCACTACTGTGCTGATCTGATCTGAGAAAAGAAAACAAAAATGTCTGGAAGAGGAAAGGGAGGCAAAGGGCTAGGAAAGGGGGGAGCGAAGAGGCACAGGAAGGTGTTGAGAGATAACATTCAGGGCATCACTAAACCCGCCATTCGCAGGCTTGCTCGTAGAGGAGGTGTCAAGCGTATCAGTGGTCTCATCTATGAAGAAACCAGAGGCGTTCTCAAGATCTTCCTTGAAAACGTGATTCGCGACGCTGTTACTTATACCGAACATGCTCGAAGAAAGACCGTAACTGCCATGGATGTCGTCTATGCTCTCAAGAGGCAGGGTCGTACCCTCTATGGCTTTGGCGGCTGATTTTGTGTTTTTCTTTCTTCCATGTTAGATTTATGATTCTGTTTCGATTTTAAATCATTTCAGTTGTAAATCAAGTGGATGATTTGAGTCTTTTATCAATTTGTTTCAAAAGGGTTTGGTTTACTAGCCTTTGTTTAACAAATGCTAAGCCTATATGTGCAAATTATTATTGAAAGATCAGTTACAAATCAGTTTAATCTAAATGGACATCTCTGTTTTTGTTTCTTGGAGAAAATGGATGGTTCCTTTACTCAATTTTGACAACTGATTGAAGAGGCTCATTTGAAAAGAAAGCCTTCAAGTTAGCCAAACAAAGCTCTATCAATGCTTCAAAGGATTCTGGCGTAAAAACTGCACGGTGTGCGGATAACACAACATTGTCTAAACAAAGCATTTCCTTTGGCACATGAGGCTCATTCTCAAACACATCAAGTCCTGCACCTCCAAGCTTCCCTTCAACCAAAAACTGCACTAGTGTCTTCTCATCGACAAGAGAGCCCCGTCCAACATTAACGATCACTCCTTTTCCCAAGCTTTTCATGACACCTTCGTTAATTATGTGGTGAGTTTCTTTTGTTAATGAGCAACAAAGAATGAGAATGTCACTATCTACAGCTAGATTGTGAACATTTTCATAGTAAGGGAATGGAACTGATGGCTTCCTCTTTCTTGAATTGTAGGCAATGTTGCAGCCAAAAGCTGCAAGCCTTTTTGCAACTTCAGAACCGACACTTCCATACCCAACTATCCCAACTCGCTTTCCTCCTAACTGCAATCAAATTTGTGTTATTAACCAATTTGACGTTTTTGATTATATGCTATAAGAAATGCATAATTAAGCCATGGAACAAATAGGTGAAGCAATAATGAGCAAAACACGCTTAGGCAAACAATTCTTCTGCCCCTATACTACATATTAAGCTATTAAGCTTAAATTTCCCTGTAAACAATGAATTCTAATTCCTCTTGTATTCTAGCGAAGTAATGATATCTACTTGGTCTAATTAAGCAATAGATTATTAGAAAAATTCCAATTAATTCTTCAGCCCAGCTTCAATTTGTGATTCACATCAATCTGTGTTTTTGACCAGTTGTGAGTTTAGGTGAAATTAAGAAAATAATTCACCATTAAAAAAAATCAAGAAAAGATAACAAATTTAAATCTGAATCGATAAAGAAAAAGACGAAAAACCTTGAAACCAAGAGGAAAATCTCCCATCACAGGCCAAGAGCCAGCGCGGACAAAACGGTCAGCTGCTGAGATCCGGCGTAAAACATCGATCAACAGACCCACAGCATGGTCAGCTGCATCCTCTGCAAATGCCAAACTGGCGTTGGTGATGGTAATACCACGGCGGTGGCATTCCTGCAACGCAATATGGTCAACGCCAGCGCTGCCCGCCACTATGAGTTCTAAGGAAGGTAGGAAGTTAAGAGTTTCAGAGGTGATGGGGGTGTAGCCCACGCAGAGGAGAGCTCTTATGGAATATCCATGGACAGAGAGGAAGGAGCTGATGGGTTCTTGTGTATCAAACGGGTCGAGGAGATGGAAGTGGGGTGATAGGCGGTCTTTTAGCGCAAGGGTGTACGAAGAGCGACGATGGAAAAGGACAACAGGGAGGTTTTCCATGGAAGCCATTGATGATTGTTAGGCCTTAATTTATCAGCTGGTTGATTCGCTCTTCTATTATGGAGCAGTGGGCTGATTGTTGCCTACCGCTGGTTGGTCCTTTCTGCTTGTTTTTATGTATTGTCGTTGCTGCAGCCTGCAGCAGACAATGTAACTGGGGATTTTTCTATACTTGCAAACAATATTTTAAAGTTGATGCGGGTCACTTAAAAAGGGGCAGAGAACTGTCAGGTTGAAGACAAAATAAATTAGCCCCTAAAAGGCAGTTTAGCCGTTCCAATTTCCTTTAATCATCTTGAATTAACAATTAACAGAAATCAAAGCAAAATTCAAAATTTAACATTTTCTTCATATATGTATTCAGAAACTTTATTCCTTTTGACGGGCATCAAAACTGTTCATCCCATAAAGAAATTTTACACAATGCCTTTATTACTTCTGCAGGGAAATCATACCTACTGTTCAATCATTTTGAACATGTGAAAGTAAAGGTTGTTTTGAAAAGAATGCTGTCAAATTGGTAAAGATTACATCCTGTAATGCTTCCATGGATTCTGGGGTCATGGCAGCAACGTGCGGCGACAACACTACATTTTCCAGCTCAAATAAACATTCCGGCACATAAGGTTCATTGTCAAATACATCAAGACCTGCACCACCAAGCTCCCCTCGCATCAAGAAACGAACCAATTGCTTCTCATCCACAAGAGCTCCACGACCAACATTGATGATCACTCCATCCTTTCCCAATGCTGCCATAACATCCTTATTGACTATGTGGTGTGTTTCTCTAGTCAGTGAACAACAAACAATGAGAATGTCACTATTAGCTGCGAGATCATATACATTTTCGTAAAAAGTGAATGGAAATTGTGGTTTCTCCTTCCTTGAAGTGTAGGCAATTCTGCAACCGAAAGGAACAAGTCTTTTTGCAATTTCCGAACCAATACTTCCCAGCCCCAAAATCCCAACTCTTCTACATCCAAGCTGAAATAACAATTTGTCAACTTTATAAGAATCACTTAAAAAGAATGCTTTTTTTGTAAAAAGCATTAGGGCTGTCAAAAATATACACAGACAAACATGTTAATCTGATTGCAGGTTGTGTGAATTTCATTTCCAAGTTCGAAATAGAGCACCCTCTAATCCGCTTAGATTGTATCAGGTTTATCATTAAACTATGTCATCGCACCCTAATCAAGAACCTGCCACAACAGAGCTTCAAGAAATATACTAAAAATCCTTTCTGTCTATAATTATTATGGTTGAAACAAAAATTTTAATATCCATTATCCTTAAACAATCACAATTTGATTCTTCTGAAAGCATATAAATAAATTACCTTGAAACCAAGGGGATAATCTCCTTCAATAGGCCATAAACCGGCCCGAATGTACCGATCACTGGCGGATATGCTCCTCAAAACATCGATCAACAGTCCCACAGCATAATCAGCGACATCTTCGGAAAAGGCTGTACCGGCATTGGTGACTGCGATTCCTCTGCGGCTACACTCAGCCAGGTCAATGTGATCAAAACCGGCGCTGGTGCCAAGGACGATCTGAAGGGAAGGTAGAAGAGCGAGAGTGTCGGAGGTAACAGGGCTGGGACCAACGCTGATTAGAGCGAGTACGTTGGCGAAGTAGTCGGCTGGAGGCAAGTCAATTAGCGGGTCCAATAGATCGAAGTGAGTGCGCAAGCGACAACTGAATTCTAAATTGAAGGACGGAAGGCGGTGGATGAGAACTTTGGGCCGCTCTGGAATGGTGTTATCTTCCTGATAATCTTGGGTGGCCATTTTTGTGTGCGACTTGTTAATCTATCTTGGTTTTTTCTGTGGAATGATCACACTCTTCTATTCTAGAAAAAATGTGGAATGATCGAAGTGACCCACTAACTTCTTTTTTTTTTTTTTTTTTTTTTTTTTTTTTTTTTTTGGCCGTTGTCTTTTATAAATCCAGCTTCAGTTTATAACATGTTATTAGATTTTGCTGAATTAATTTATACTAACTTTTGCTTATGAAATCCTTCGACTTTGATTTATCGATATCAAACCCTTTAATTTTTACTAAGTCCGAAATTAATCGAGAGTAAATTATAAATTTAAATCGTAAGAAATAGATTAAATATAATAACATGATATTTAGAAATAAAGAATTAATCATAAAGACTTAATTTTAACACAAATAAAAGTGTGAGAATTTAATAAAACTTGATAAAATCATGGACTTAATAAACTTTAATTTTAATAATATGATTTAAAACTTATTTTTATGAGAATGTTAGTGTTATGTTTATTAATAAACTGTCAATTTTTAAGAAAATTAAAAACCATTTGTATTGTCTTCAAAATAATAATATTCATTTGAATTTATAAACTAAAATTTTAATTTAACTAACAATGTAATTAATTATTAGACATTTAAATCAATTTATACTTTTAAATGTTTTTAGAATTATATCTAATTTTAGATATTTAACGTTTTACAAGTTCTTTAGAAAATTTTATTGCTACTTGTACTTTTTTTTTTCTCTTATGTCATGCCCTAGCTAGTTTCTTTTTATTTTTGTTATTACTAAACACATCATTGATGAGTTGGCAATATTTAATCCGAATGGAGGTAACTCGATGGCAAAGAGCACTTGTGAGGTTGACTATTATAGTTTAGATTATGGATTCAATCTTCTGCAACGTAAACTCTATCCAAATGTGAACCGTTTACTTTGTGCAAGTATAAAAATAAAAAAAAGAGTTGGCAATATTTGTCCAATTTACTTTTAATCAAAAGGACAAATAATATATAATCCTTTAGTTCCATTAAATTTTTATTACTTTTAATTTTTTTTTATTAGATGATACTTTTAGAAAATTAAAATAATATTAATTATTTAATTTTAATTTTACTTTTGTTTAGATATTTGCACTAATCTTTATCTCAATTAAATAAATATTTATTAAAGGATAATTTAGCCTTTTAAATACCATTAGTATTTATTGTGACGTGCATTGTATATTGTTAATATTTGGTATTATTCATTGTTTAGATTAATTAATTTATTCTTTCATAGTACGTATTAAGTTTGATTATAATTTTTCTCTTATATTCTCCACATATTTATATAATGTTAAGATATGATTTGATGTATAACAACTTTAAATTAAAATTTATCTCTATTTAAATAATATTCATATTATAAATGAATAGTATTTTTCTCAAACTAATTTTAATATGATACTTCAAAACTAATTTTAATATGATAGGGCAACATTAAAAATTAGTATATTTAATAAAATAATTGGTAGACGATAAAATAAAAAAATATTATAAAATTATAAGCTTTAGATTTTTAATTTTTCTTTCAAAATGATAAGTTAGACTTAAAGCATTCAATTCTTTACAAAAAAAAAAAAAAAAAAAACATAAAAGCATTTGCTTAGAACAATCAATTATTGATGAATTGTATTTTTAGTGGTTTCATTTCATTTTTACAACAATTGAAAGAGGGAATAACAGAATATTAAACACACATTACCCACTTTATTAAATAATTTAATATATTGTTACTCATTTACAATTTTAAAATTTTATATAAATTAAAATAAATATTGGATAAGTTTAACATAAATAAATTAATAGAATAGATTAGATTGAACTAATAAATTTATTAATTATTAAGATGAATTAATAAATTTAGATGAACTAATAAATATTTATTAAAATTATTAGATGAATTAATAAATTAATTATGTTCTGAAATAATTGTTGAAATAATATTTTTATATTTTTTTGCATTTTAAAGTTCATGTTAAAATTAAAATAATAATCTGTTTTTTTTTTTAAGATTAATATCGTAAATAATTAATATTTAAAAATTCAATTAGAACAATATATTAAAATAATAATATCAAAATAATATAGTAATATATTTTTTCAATCAATTAATAAAAAATATAATTTATCAATTATTAAAAACTTAAATTATTCAATAAACTCAAACTATTATCAAATTATCTGATGTCTAAGAATATTTTAAAATTTTCAAAATTTCACTAAAATTTGTATAGGTAATTTTATTATTTTCACCTTTATTTCCAGTATAAATAGATAGATATAGATTATTACTGTATTTAATTTAATTGATGGGATTTTCAATTATTATTTATTAATTTGAAGTAGATATAATAATCAGGATTGTGTTTCTTTCAAAAAAAAAAAAAGAAAAAAATCAGGATTGTTGTGTTTCGATTTCACTCTCCTCCATGACCGTGTGAGTTTGTTCCCTTCTTCTTCAATTCGACGGGCAAAAACGCCGTTTTTTCACGGTCGCCAATTAGCATTATCTTGTACGTTTGTCGTTTTGTGAAGTACAAATGGGTTTAGATTACACACGCTCGTAGTGAAACGTGTTTTGCAAGCAGCGCTAATGGTCGATAGATGACCGCGTGTCTATCGGACTAATACATCTGGTTCTTGCATAGTTAGTTGCCTTCGAGCTAACCGACAGATCATTTGACACGTGATTGTATTATGTCCATGAACAAGACAGATGATCGTTCTACGGCTACATGTATCACGCTCCTGCATTAACACAATAGTTCCCCACGTGAAGGAAAATTTTGCCTATCCTTTGCAGAGCAGAGAGAAGTTTCCGTCGTTCTTTTCTTCTGCGTTTTCAAACTTATCATTTCATAAATAACTTTTTCAGTTAAGGTTTCTTTAATAGGTTTTCTTATTTCATAAACTGATTACTTGACTGAATAATTAAAGCAAGATTTTGAATAACATAAACATTGAATAAACTGGAGTACATAGTTAAGGGATTTGAATCTTAGAGTCGCTACCATTGGAATTGTTTTATCTCAATATAAACCTGGTCCGGGTGTGGCGACGTTTGTGCAAGCTAACATTTTTAAAAAAAAAAAAAAGGACATATTTGTAGTACAAATACTGTGATTAATTCACAGGCCAAACTGTGGAGTTCGTTAGCTTCTGTTCCAAGGTAGAAATATCGATGCATTTTTCACCACTCACCTGTACATAAAAATTTGAAATATTAGATGATAGCAGAGAATTTTATGCGGAAAAAAAAAAAAAGTCAAAAACCCTAAAATAGTTGGTACTTCAAAGGGCTGAAGACCAACATATTATACCTGAGATATGATAGTATGAAGCATTCTTTCTTTTACTTTAGTTGAACTGCAGCTAACAATACTAAGCCCTTCTTCAATTAGAACCTGAAGCACTCCTGATAGAGGAAAACTTTTTCTCAAACCAGTATCTATCACAACCTCTACACCAACCAAACACGGTTTAACTGTCAAGGCATCTCTCTCATCACTACTTTCCAAGATATTATCTTTAGAGGTCGTGGAACTCGAATTAGATAATTCTCTTAGCTCATCTTTAAGCGCTTGAATCTTATCCTCCAGATGTCTTATATAATTTATTGCTTCTTGAATGTGATCTGATACTGATCTCTTTCCCTGAAAACCATCAAGAGCTTGTGAGTTTATCAAATGTAATGTACTGTTTCATATTTAGATGCCAAGAAGAAGAAAATAGAGAAGAATTTCAAAACAATATACAATAATTTACCTTCAGATAATCAATAGGAAGGAGGGATCGTAAAGTTCTGTAAAGGGTAGCCATTTCTTGCGTTCGTTGTCTCTTGATGTCTTTATGATCGATTTTGCTCTTCTTATTTTCGAGTTTAGTGTCTTCATTTGTATCTCCAGATGTTTTCCCCATATGCATGTACTGTGCGTTGTTGGTTAGATCAAAAGGTCCTTCAGTCTGTGATAATATTTGTTGTTGTTGGGAAGGAGAGGAACAAAATCTGGTAAGTTCATGAGTACTACAACCTTCTTGAACAAAGGATGAAATATGATCCATCTAGCGCTTCTCTTCCTCTAGCTCACCCACTGTTTATTACTTGGAATTAGTGGAAATTTTTCGATGAGATACGTTTAATATTTAGTATCTTTCGAGAACTTGTGAATGAACTGTATGGAGATGACACATACAATGATATAACGTGCTAAAGTTACTGTGGATTTTGTGGCTGAGAATAAACTCACGATATTCACGTTGGAAAACTGTCTCCTCTGTTAAGGAAGACATAACCCACATGAACCTGGGGCCTGATACTTGGAGAGATACTAGTGAACAATCAACATGTTTTAACCGACGGGATTATGCCAGTTGGTATTGATATGGACAAAAAGTTTTGTTTATAAGCTCAGAATTAAAAGCAGTCGGTACACCTGATTAGATTCTCTTATTTGGACAAGTGATTTGACACTCTCTTTTTTTTATTTTTTTATTTTTTTATTTTTTAGGTGAGGCTGACGGTTGATAATCAAGAAATGATTCCACGTTGTTGCTTAGCTGAGTTACTAAGGTGGTATATGGAGAATGGACCCACTGCCAAATTTAAAGGCAAAACGATGGGATGTTCTTTTGATAATATTGAAAAGACCCAAATGTGAAAAAAAACAAACAAGCATCTAAAAGGGGAAAAAGAAGAAATTTGTGGGATATTAACGTATATTCGCTTTCATTGGACGTGTTTAGAATTAAAGGAAAAATCTTTATTCTTTTTCTTGGGATAATTATATTTAGGCTTTATTTGTTTTTGAAAAATAATTTATTTTTAAAACTTGAAAAATATTTTTTAAATAACTTATTTTCCATTCCTTGATTGCAATATTGAAAATTGGTTAAAAATAATAAAATTTTTAACTCATAAAACCATAATAATGGTTAAAAAAATTAATAAAAATTTTTAACTCATTAAAACCATAATAATAATAATAATAATAAAATAATATATAATAAGTAATAAATAATAATAATAATAATAATTTCGTATTTGAAAAATTTTATTGTTAAATATGAGAATAATACAAAAAATGGTAAATTATGAAAGTCGTTGTGATCGGTGGGTGGTGGCCAACGGTGGTGACCGGTGATGAATAGTGAGTGGTGGTAGTGACTACCGATGATGAATAAATTAAATAAATGTGGATTTAGAAAATTATAATAAATTTATCAAAGTTCAGAAAATGTTTTACGCTCTTGAAAATGAAAACTCATTTTCTTTCAAAATAACTTAATTTGCCTTTAGACAGGAAAATATTTTCCGTTGACTTATTTTTCTAAACATATCAAATAAAGGAAAATTATGAAAAATATTTTCTTGCAAATTATTTTACGAAAATAAACGAAATCTTAGTAAAAATATTATCAACTAATGTTTGTTTCCGCAAAACAATTTGTTGAAAAATATTTTCTATGCAAAATATTTTCCTTGAAAAATATTTTCCAAATAACTTATTTTCCATTGATTGGTTGTAATATTGAGAATTAGTTAAAATATTAAAGTTTTTATCTCATAAGACTATAATCGGTCATAAGACTATAAAAAAAATATTAATAATAATATAAAATTTTATATTTATAAATTTTATTGTTAAATATGAGAATAATGCAAAAAAAATATATATATATATATATATAAGCCGGTGGTTAGTGGTGGTGGTCGATGGTAAATAGTGATCGGTGGTAGTGACTGCGATGATTAATAAACTAAATAAATATGGATCTATAAGGTTTTTCAATATCCGGAAAATATTTTACTCTCTCAAAAATGAAAAGTTATTTTCCTTAAAAAATTATTTAATTTTTCTTTGACCAGTAAAATATTTTGTATAGACTTATTTTCCTAAACACCTCAAACAACGAAAAATTATGAAAAATATATTCCTGCAAATTACTTTACGAAAACAAACGGAGCCTAAGCATTAAAATAGCAATAATCACCACCAACTCAAACATTTCCTGTAAAACCTAAACTAAAATCCAAACTGGGAATGCCATTTAAATTTTTTAAATATAAGTAATAAAAGTTATAAGTTCTCAATATATTAAAAAAAATAAAATTTGTCTCAAGATTTTCATTATATATAATTTAGTTTTCTTTTTAGGATCACAAATAATATCTTTTGAAGATGCTAAGGGATTCATGTATAAGACTGTCAACGAACAAAATTATCGTCCTACTCCAAAAAATTTAACAAACAATATATAGTTTTTTTTTTTTTTTGGTTCAAATTTGGTACAAACAATATATTTTTACTAAGTGAAAATCCTAACATTGCACGGATTGCTCTGTCTAATATACATTGTACTTTATTTTGAAAAATTTTTAATTTGTAACTTTATATTAAATAAATAATAAAAATAATTAAAAGTTTTTTAGATAGAATAAACTTAAGTTAAGTATGAAGTTTTTTTGATAAAATGAACTTTGACTTAAGTCTATTCATATTTTCAAGTCTTTAAATTTATAAATGCACATACCTTGCATTTTTTACTTAGAAATTAAAAGACACCATGTCATATTATACAGTTCATATATCTTTTTGAAAGTTAGAAAGTTTGTGTCGCAATTAATCAGCAATAGTATGGTAGTTTCATCAAATCCATAAGTTAAATATAACATCATTCCAAATACATTTACTTCTGTCAAATATATTAGGATTCATAAGAACCCCAATATGGGAGTTCATTGGAATTACGATAATAAAAAAAATTCATTATATTTCATGTATGAATTAAACTCGTCATTTTTTAGGATACACTTACATATCAAAATTTCAAAATTAGATGTGATTAAATTTCAAATATTATAATAATTATTATTAAAAATTGTTTATAAATTTTTCAAAAATACCTTAACATGTATATATAAATAAATATGATTATATTCAAAAATTGTAATCATTCCTACCATGTAGGAATGGGCAGTTCTCAACAACCTTGCTCTCACTAGTAACGTAATAGATATCATTCTGGCATGTCTTCATTCAAGTGACATAGTCCTTAAGCCTCGTTACCTATCACCACTTTCAGTGTAGTGGGATTAAGCAGTTCAACAAGTTTTGTCTTGTTTGTGGAGTTCTTCCAGATGGAGATTCTTAGAAAATGCTTTATAGAATTTGTTATAATCTTCCTTATTCTCAACAATCTCAAAGAAAGCTTAATGCACACTCTTCACTAAGTTATTGCGGATAACTCTCAGAATCTTATTCTGTTGCAACATTTCTATTGAATGTTTGAGGAAGAAGGCACTCAGGAATAAGCTATTCTCAGTCAATATATATGATATAGCTCTAATTAGATTTAAAAAATACAAACATAAATAGAATAAAAAAAATAAATTATTATCACTAAAAAAATTGCATCCATTTCTAAATTGAAAAAAAAACTCCATATGGTATAAAACTGTCAATAGTAAGCTATGGTCAATGATAATATTCCTTAACCCCTACAAAGAAAAATGAAGTTAACTAATCAATTTTCTTCCATTAAAATAGTAGCTAACTTTTTCACTCCGGTTTGTAAAGTTTGTATAAGAAATAGATAAGAAAAAATAAAAACATATACTCTTGTTCTTTTTTACCCTATTGATCATAGTGTTTTACTCTCTCTTAGAATTAAGGACCATTGATCATAGTGTTTTACTCTCTCTTAGAATTAAGGACCTTCCTTTCTCGAGTATTAGAGAGATACAGAGGTAAGTTGCAGTTCTAATAAATTTTATATAATTCTTTTCAAGTTACGGATGCAATTATTCTTGAGCACAAGAAATTTGATAAAGATCTAGCTCTAAAGTATCTTATTCCAAATCTTTCCAAGCAATCGAACTATTAAATTTGACAAATTGAAAACACTTGGAATTCCTAATTATAACACATCCAATGGAATATGTAGAGACCAACAACTAAAAGAATATAATAATTGAATGGAGGTCTTGAGTGTGGCTATTCCCTCTCTTAACTTCGGAAGCCAATATTCAATTTATATCATTTTTTAATTACTAGAAAATATTTCTGGGTATCCATAAGCTGTGAAAAAATTTCAAGTGTATTATTGATAGTTCTTGATAGATTATTTTTATACATGTATGTAACAAACTTAAAGATTTGGTTAACTAAGGAACCAAATTCATTGGGAAACTCTCCTTTTAAGTTGTTATTACCTTACTAAATAACAATGAGCCTTTGAACTGAGCTTTGAACAACTTTATATTAGTAGTAGTTCTTCCACTTGTTTATTATGAATTCTTCTAGTTTTCTTTTGTGACTAATTTGTTCTAGAATTTAGCAGGTGAAATTGTTGCTTTATAGATTTAATTTCTTAAAAAATGTCAAATTGTTAAATTATGGTAATATAAACAGTAGAGGTCACACACCATATGATGAGTTCAAAAACCATAGTAACTCCACAAAAATCAAACTACTCCTCTACCATAGTCTAATCATAGATTCCAGATCAGATCCAAAAGCTATGCAAATAGAAAAAAATTATAATAATAAAGTAAAAGAAGAAGCGGTAAAATTGATTGCAAAAAGAAACACAAAGCTATGTATAAGAGAAACACTTGATTTCTTTTAGCATATCTCACTACTTCCATTGTTATATAACGAACTATCATACAACGAACTTTCTCATGTAAACATTTCTATTTGGTGAAAGTCTATGATAGGGAATATTTAAAATGCATTAATTTTCAGATTCTATAATTTTTGAGTTTTTATCTCAAAGTACAAAATAAACTGAGGACAACAATGAAACAAACACAAAAGGAAAAAAAAAAAAAAACAAAAAAGATTTCAATGGCCAAAAGAATCTAATTGAAAAGGTTACCTTTATGGATAGGGTCTCTATTATCCATCATGGTAATACCTGTATTATCCATCATGGTAATACCTGAGCTAGAGAAAAATGAAGAATTTTCAATTAACAAATATAAACCAATACATGTTATGGATAGTAAAGTAGTCTTAAGTATTCGTTTATAGAAGATTAAAGGTATTTTGAGATAAAAAATCAGAAACAAATAAAATAGAAAATGATTTACTATCCAAAAATAAAAGAAATATCACCTGAAAAGCATACAATTATTCATTGGTCAATTCAGTTATTCGAGTAGAAATCACAACAAAGTTGTTCA